CCCTATTTCAAAGGACTATAACTTTCTTCATTGATAACCATTTCAGAAAGTGAAGGCAGCTTTTGAATGCACAAGACTTCTAGTTTCTAAATTGTGCTGAGCGTTTTTCTAAGCACGCCTATTCTCGAGAGTGGGAGACGTCGAGGAATTGTCGAGGAAATTGAAATTTACATGCGAGTTCCCACTCTTTGGAAGACAGTAGCTGTCTTCATTGGCAATGCTTTGAAAATCGGAGGAAAGCGTTGTAAAGTAGAAGATTTACGCTTTCTGATAGGTGCTCCAGTTGTTTCGAACGCTTTCTAGTTCGCGAGAAATCTGCGTCGAGGAAATGTCAAGGAAATTTTCGAAGCCACTCGAAAACTCTATTACTCCCTTGCCGTAGTAGGGAACTTCTTTGAACACCTTCAAAATACTTCTGTACACGTCAGTTCGATGGAGTAAATTGAAAATGATGCACTTGGCGCGGATCCATTCCGTTCTTGTATGCGCCATGCAGTGACCCCACTCGGAGTCATTGGGAAGGTGTTTTGTCCTAGTGACGACTTGCTTAAGCACACCAAAAGATATTTCCAGTATTAACTAATTAGGATAACTCTTGTGGTCATAGTGATGTCTGATCATTCCTTTATTCAAATCGCTTCCTTTCCAACCCGTTCTGATGAATGACAGCTTGCGGTTGCAGGATCTGATGATGCCAAGAAGGCTGCGAATCTGCCTGTTTTGAACTTTCTACCAAGATGCTGTTCCTCCACTAAGTTCTCGAAGCATGTGCATCATTCTAGAGTAGATACTCGCTGCCCTTTCCCTACGATTCTTTTGCAGGACGCGTTGCCTTCCTATGCCATACTGATCACTACGAACCAAACCAACAACCACTTGTAAGATGTTATTTGCATTAGGCTAAGTACAACACTTGTGAAACTAATGATGACAGCAAATAAGTGGCAGCAGCACCGTTGTGTCCGTTGATGAACCTTTTGATTACGACCCCCTCCCAACTCTCATCGGAGCAAATACGACCCCCTGTCGAGGATTTCCTCGACCGTTATTCACCCTGGTGGAGCCCCTGCACTGTTTATGAGTCTTAAGACAGTCATATTGGTTCGTCGCTTTGCTGTGACGATTGTGTAACTAATAAAACTGTAAAAGTGAAAGTCCTTCATATACAGTCAATTAATGCAATCAATATTGAACGACAGGTAAAATCGATTGGGAGCTCTATGAACAAGGTGACGAATGTGGATATCTGACAACCAACATTTACAAACAGTGCGTAAATAATCCAATTTAGTTCATACAGGGGTGAAAATCATAATAGTGTGATTAAACAGAGCACACTATGCTGCGATATGCAAATTGATTGGAGCTGATATCGACTATCGATTAGATGGATGTGGTGGTAAGGATGTGCACAACTGGAAGACGTTTCCCTTTTAAGGAACCCTCTTCCAGCTCGATTCAGCCGATACTCAACCAACTTTGAGGTATGATTTTTGGAGGAGGTAACAATGAGGTGCTCGGGGTACGGTACAATCAGGTACGGTATGCAATCACAGACGATCACGTTTGGGGCCGCGTTCGCATCACAAGTGAGAGGAACATTTGGTCAGTATGATTTAGAAAATACGCAGAAATGAATTATCACAAGTTAACAGCTATCAGCTACAGTAGGCCGCTCATGCCATGACGTCATTACCTAGTGTAGAAAACGTCTGACGACAATGTATTGCAATAAGAAGACTACGGTAGAAATGGAGAGCTCGGCACATATCCAACGGTAATGATTAGAAGTACAGTATTCACAGGGAGAAGAGGAGCATGGGTAAATTGTTTCGAGAAAGGATGGCGATATGGAGATGCGGCAAAGTTTCTGGCAGTCTGCCAGCATCGCGAGCGATGACCACAGAATGCCGAAAACGCGGTACATATATTATCCTTGTATACGAACGAATAGCGAAGGTGGCATAAAACCCTGTTTATTGGCATGCCGCCAATTTTACCGGCGTAGCGCTACCGAAGAGTACTATACATACATGGAAAGCACGAACTCAAACATTACATACATCGATTATCGCGTTACTGACTTGGGCGTCCACAGAGTCTGAGGTTTCCATCGAGTAGTCAGTGGATTGTTCCAGGAGTTTATAGTTGGCTAGCAAACTTTGCAGCAAGGACTCGTTGGAAACCAGTGGAAAATGGAATCCCGAGGGGGTGACAGGGTTGATCGGCACTGGGGCGGCGATCATTGATGCAGTGGCAGCGGCAAATGAGGACGATTCTGAAGACGAGTTGCTAGTCGTCGTCGCTGGCGACTGCGACGAGAATAAGAGCGGCGTTCGCAGAAGATCTGGAGAGGAAGCAAACGCGCTCAGAGTAGTTGGCGAGTAAGATGACCCGTCGGACGACGTCGGTGAAGTCATCAGAGATTGCGGAACCTGCTGCTTGAGTTGGTTATCTGAAAACATAAGCATCAATCTAGAGCGGGCACTGCTTGATCCTTTTAGTGTAGTTATTTTGAATTAGAATTTACGGTAGAATGCAGCGATCCCTCCCCTACGCCTATTTGTCTAATGACAAATTGCACAACATTCGATGTGTTTTCACTGCCACGCGCTTGATATTCCCGTCCAATTCGCCCTCTTAGAGCTCACAGCTGAACTGTTTTCCACGACGTTAGATAAACACATATGAGTTTTTGCTATTATTGCCTATTATATGAACTGATAGGAAAGGTGTTTGTTATTCAGCTTACTGTAAAGAACAGATCTACTCTCGTTTATGAGAATTGCTATTGCAAAATGACGACAGCATAGCGAAGCTTGTAAAAAAAGAGTAGGTTAACGCTAGCGATCACGTTTGTTTCCATGAGCAGATATCCCTTTACTGTAAATCATGAGCAGAAGTAAGCACTCCCATAGAAGAGCAAAGTTGAGGGCTATGGTTAGCGTTGACAGAAGTTGAACGGTCGGCAAGTCCGAGGTCAAGGCGAATAGGCTTGGAGTGGCGCTTCTGACTCATTTATCATC